TGGGTGTGGATGTGTGTGGGTGTGGGTGTGGGTGTGGGTGTGGGTGTAGGTGTAGGTGTAGGTGTGGGTGTGGGTGTGGATAGGAATGTTGTACTTCTCTTCAACTCACACGCACATCCACACCCACACTCACCAACACTCACCCACGCCCACACCCCACACCCACACCTACCCACACCCACACCTACCCACACCCACACCCTAGATTTTTTAACATTTTGAATAGACTTCTTTGAACACAAACCTATCCAATGAAATATTTACAGTGAATTCTTAGTTGTCAGATGTTTAAAATTAATCATTCAAAAGTTATAGGTATTCTAGTTGAAGCTTTAAGTTTATTTTTCTAGCAATTTCTGTAAAAAAAATGATGTTTTGGCTGTTTCTTTTTTGGTAAGAAACCGTTTTTTCACACTGACAATCATACTAGAGAAACGTATAATATACGATTCGATACATCTTCATTTCTTCTTTCAAATGATTCTTTTCTCTAACAGATTATATAAAGATAAAGCTTTTTTTGTAAGGAATTACCGTATCATGCTCACTACTTTTTGACTGCTCTAAGTAATCTTCTTTTTGGTCAATGAATTTATGGATACCTTGTATATATAGAAACGAAAAGTAAACAAGCAATTGCTATTACCTGCTCATCTGTATGCCTAGACTTTATCCTATAAATGTCACTTACTAATTGTCTTTTCAGAGCTATTGTAGATACAAGAAAAAAGGATGAACGTTTTAATGGTAACTATTAGTTTTCTCTTTTGAGCAGTATCCGGGCTAGTCTACCCCTGGTTACGCCACTAAACTACCCGCCGAGAGATGATAAACGTGTGCTTGTTCTTTCTCTTCTGATTTTCTTTTTCTCTTTTTCTTCCTTCTTGTGCAGTGTTCATCATTCTCGTTTCATTCTTTAAGATAATAAGCCACGACTGAATAAATCGCTTCGTCACAGAAACGTCGATGTTCTCAATAGGAAACTTGCTTGCTTGCATTAATCTATTAAAAATAATTTCCACGAATTTTAATCGATGAAAATCGATTAAAGAGATTTCTATCCTATATCTCAGATTAAAATCTACAAAATTCCTTTCAATCGATTGATAATTACCATAATCTATTATTGAATTATAATGGATTTTAATCTGCTTTTTTTTAAACAAAAATCATCCATCGTGTTAAAAAATCCGATTTTTACAGTCCTAGTAAAAAATAATAGTGATTATTGCTCAAAATTTTCCCATGAAGTAGCTTCACGTCAATTGTAGCATTCCTTTCTGATCATCACGACTTTATATCATTATTGTTATTCTTTGAGTAGTCAACAAGACGAGTGCGGGCGTGTTTACACAGCTCTATCTAGCTTCTATTTTCTCTCTCTCTCTCTCTCGATTAATTTAGTTGCTCCAAATACCATCGAAACAAGCAAAAACCTACGCAGCACTTATGTGTATATCATTTCACAGAAACTTAATGAATAGTATAACTTTCACTAGATTCCGCACTGTCATTATACAAAAGATCGTCATGCAGGATGAGAAACATTGAGTTAATCAGACGAAAAAAAATGTGAAAGCTTTGCTTTCATTATTCTTTTCCTTTTCATTTTATCCGTTCATCCAAAATCTTGACGTTTTGAAGTAAGAAACATTAATTATGTGCATTGATCTTCCATCTTCCGCAAAATTCATTAAAAAAGTAAATCTGTCTATACTTTTTTCATTATCAAGAAATATATTGTTACCACTACAGTAGCATACAAACCATCAGATGAGATCTAATATTGTTTCATAGTTTCAAAAGATACAATGTTATGATTACTGTCAGATCATTTCTTGCAAAAGATCACCCATTTTTTCTTATTTCAGATTAGATAAAATAGAATTTCAAACATTACTATACTTGTTATAGTCTCTGTATTCATATACTATTTATCTCTTGAATCTAATTTGAAATGATGCATTCAAACATTTCAACTACGATCGATATAGATATTGCGCGTCTCAATGATAGATTACATCGCTTCACAATTTACATAAGTTTATTCTATCTGATTTTTGGCAATTTTGGAAATTTATTTAAAGTACTCTTCTTTCTACAGAGACCTCTCAAAAATTGTCCATGTACTGTATACATTCTTGTTGCTACATTCAGTGATTTTATGACTCTTAATAATATTCCAATGTTCAAACTATTCACCAACCTTTTTCCATCGAATCAATGGATCATCAGTTTGGGTTGGTCTCTTTCGTCCAATACAACATTTGTAAACTCATTTCGACCTTCTCCAATGGATATAAACATGTGCAAAGCTCTCAGTTATTTGCATATGTGCAGTACTGATATTTCTTTCCAATTACTTCTTCTTGCATCGATTAATCGTTTTTGTTTCAATTTGAAAAGAACAAGTCGAAAGAAAGATCGACGATTCATTAATTTTTTTTGTTGCCTTTCGAATACATACAAAATCTGTTTGTTCATTTGTGTCTTTTGGAGCTTCGTCTCTCTTCATCATCTGTTCAATTTTACGATTATATCAAACACTTGTGTTCCACGTCGTATCTTTTTGTGGACCGTATGGATATCCAGCGTGCATTGTCTTCAATCCGCTCTGATGATTCTTTTCGGTGTTTTAACACTTATTATTAGACGAAAAAATCCAGTCGTTAGTCCTCGTCATTGTCGTTATTGTCACACACGAACATCAATATTTATAAAAATATGCCGACAATGTGTTGATCTTAGACAAGAACGCTATCACGTTGAAACACAACTTACTTCGATGATTATTGCCGAAATTGTCCTTGCTGCACTGACATCTTTGCCCTATGCTATCTATGTGATATATCGGTCGATGACAATGACAAACGAACGAACGAAGTGCAATACAAAAGGCCCAAGAGAATTTGATTGAATTATTTGTGAAAATGACAATGTATTTTGAGCCAAGCTGTGGATTCTATGTGTATTTGTTCACTTTAAAGACATTGAAGAAACGATTTTTCAAGATTTTATTAGTCAAATTAAGAGGATACCAAGAAAGTTGATTTATTTTGATTAGAGTATATTGAATTTTCTACCATTATGTTTAATGGTTTCTGATGTTCACGTTTGTTGTCCGATTGAAATAAAATGAGGAAGCCCGCTAATGTATCTTGTAACCATATTGAATTCGTTCAATTCCTACATTTGCTTGTACGCTTTTATTCTCATTCTCTTTTCATACAAACTATACTTAAAAGAGAGTTCGTCAAAGGACTATCCTAGACCGCCGGGAAAATTTTTTTTTAAAGATTTTATTATCTCAAATGAGAGCTCTAGTCAAACCCAAAATATTAGGTCATTTGGCTTTACCTGTGAAAAACACAAGCTGAAACAAGGTCGATGGGTCTATTTGACCCCTAAAAATCGCTATGTTGAGGGCACAGTGGGCAAATTTCTCATAGCAGACGGACATGCAATTGGTTTGCTTGGAAGCGGAGTTATACTAGCCAGAACGAGTTATATATCACCTTTAACAAAATGAACCATTTTTTGGAAACAAAAACTTGTTTGCGAAAACCATTCGGGGAGATCCTTGCACTAACTTTTCGAAAAAAGTTTTTTTCTCAGAAAACATATCGTGTTGTACCTCATTCGATGTGGTTTCGTGCACTGGTTCCGAATATCACGTTCTTCGTATATTATGAAGCGATCCTAATGGAAAAAATTGAAATTTCCAGCTCAAAATACCTGTTTTAAGGTGTTTTTAAACTTGCTCTATGGTTGCTGGTGTGATACAGCGTAGATGGCCAACAATAAATTAACATGGAGATATAAGTTTGACATAGATGTCATAATACCATTACACCAGATATCGACAGCTAGACGTCAGAATACCCTATAGAGTAATCAAGTAAAGTGGGTAATAACCTTAATACGCAAAAGTAAACTATATATTCTTAAAGTTGAGCAATTTGAGTTGTTTTGGTGTAACGACCTCATTACCCGTAAATGAACAATAAATACTCTTGTTTGTGAACAGATAAATTCGAAATTGAAAAAGTACCAGAACGCTTTGTCATTATTTTCTTTACGAAAGTGTAAAATTTTTTACTTATTGTTATTTAGTTTGATGAATTGTAAAAGAAAATATATCTATTTATGAGTGTCAAAAAGAATATCTTTGACATATTTTTCTTGTATTTCCTTTTTTCTCAATGTAATATATAACAATCTACAAACTATAAAATATAATTTCTTCAGTAAAACATACAAGCATATAAATATTGGATAAAATCAGTCATCGGGCTACCAGTACTCGAGAACCAGGAAGATATATATCATTGTTCATATATGTAAAACTTATAGGGCGTAACCCTTGCGGAAGGCAAAACTGCACAGGGGTAGAAGGAAAGAAATAGTTGAATACTTGAAATCAACCTTCAAGTTTGACACTACTGGCTTCCTGAGCATAGAAGTGACCGCAGAAGAATCCTAAGATTCGGTCAAGTTTCAACTCGAGTATTTTCAAATATCATTGAACTTCTTTTAGAATGCCTGAGTGTGGGCGTGGATGTGGATATGATTATATTTCGTTTCGCTAACACCCACACTCACCCAAATACAGCACAAATTGAAGTTAGAGTTTAACTTTTATTATTGAAGTTGAATGTGAGTAGGGGCGTTAACAAAACAGGTGTGAGTGTGGATGTTGATGTTCTCTTCTGCTTCTTTAACACCTATACCCACTCACACCCACACTCCCCATAATGGTTCTAGTAGAACCACTGATAAACTAACTATAGAAATCGAGTATTGACTCCTCTAGTATGCTGAAGGTATGAATAGATCGATTGAATACCAAAGTTCTTGTGCAGGGTGCTCTATTTATTTTTAAGACCGTTGCATCAAGAAGAGTGATTGAATGATTTGAACAGATCTTATCATTTGTCTCTTGTGACAGTAATTGTTTCAGAGAACCAGCAGCTATTACATGACATCGAAATGATATGAAAAAGAGACGGTTCAATCAATGAAAATCAATTATGAAACATCACATATTTTTAGCACATTTTTTTAAGTTAACATTTGTCTTTCACTTAGCCACCATTGACCCACTGAACGCATTGAACCTATGATAAATAGTATTTCAGCTTCTCCTATGACAAAGTTCACGCAAAAGCTACACACGTTAGCTTTCATTGCTCTCTGTCGATCCAACGCTAGCTACACGTTCCATTACCTGTCTTATTGTCTGTAATTCATTAAGCTATCGAAAATCTTTCGAAACATATCTAACTGACTAGTACACCGTTTAATCGAGGGTGTGGTGTGAGTGTGGGTATTTCCATCATTCACACCCACACCCATACCCTAGTCCTATATTCCGTAGACAAAGTGAAGAACTGAAATATATTTTACAACAGCTGATAGCCCATGAAGTTTGCTACAAAATTGTTTTTTCCAACTTTTGGAATTCTATGTATCGTTTTGTTTTGGGAATCAATTTTCAAATGGCTAATCCATTGGCCACTAGGGGTGAGGGGGGAGGGGGGAGTAAAGGGTTAAAATAATACTTATCGTTCATATTAGTACATCGATCGACGCTCTCGATTGCTTCGATAGTTTCTTCAATATAACGGGTGACCCATAATAAATGGGTGTAGGTGTGTGATATCTGTTCATCCTCACCAACACAAAAACTCAGGCACACATCGACACTTCACACCCTTGAAATACCCTAGATATCGTGATAGCTATAACCCACTCTCAACATGGACAAGCGACGAGCAACTCAAATCTTAAAAAGAAAAGATATCTTTTATTTTGATAAGATATATAAAAGTGTGTGCGAATGAGTTATCTTTTTCATTTTTAATGGAAACAAAAAAAAAATACCTCAAGAATTTTTTTCTATTCTTTCATTAAGTAGACAAAGATTTATTTGAGTTAAAACCCAAATAAATTTCAAAAGAATAGAACAATGCTTCAACAATTATTATACATTTTTCTTATTATATTTATTTCATCATCGAATTCAAATCGTCTTTCATTAATTGGTAATAATTGGACAATAACTAATAATATAAATCATACAGCACAAGGTACTATACCTGGTACAATTCATACAATACTTTTTGCTGCCAAACAAATTCCTGAACCCTATTTAGATTATAATGATCTTGATTTACGTTATTTGATCTATAATAACTGGACATTTACAAAAAAATTTGATTTATTCTCTGATTTTCTTGCTTCAAATCAAATTACAATACATTTGGAACAAATTGATACTGTTGCTGCAATAACAATAAACAATTGTCTTATTGGTAGAACTAATAGTATGTTCATATCTTATACATTTCATGTTGCTAATTCATGTTTAAAATTTGATAATGAAATTTCTGTTGATTTTGAATCTCCCGTTCTTTATGCATTAAAACAAGCAAATACATATAATGATACAGTACCACCAGATTGTCCACCATCAGTTGTACGTGGTGAATGTTACGTACAATTTATTCGAAAAGAACCATCATCATTTGGTTGGGGTTTTGTAAGTATTGAACTAAAGCATAAAACGAACATGTTCATATAGACAAGCAATTAAATATTTTCTTTGTGCGGATAGATTGAAATTCTATCTTCCAGCTTGAGGGTACAATCAGGCATATTAATAAAAATGATTATTAAATTCTAGTTTGAAATTTTGAATAGAGAAAAATCTTATAGAGAATAGTTTATTGTAACAGTTCGAGATGTTTTTCTCTAAAATAAAGTAATTCAATCTATTGGTATGAAAAAAAATAGTATAAATGACAAGCTATTATCATTGGTAGAATATAGGAGATGAATAAGACACTTATAAGAAAGCTTTCATGAGTGAATTTTGAAGTTTGAAGTTCGTTTCAGGATAATGCATTATTCAATAACATTTAAGTGATGTGCATAGTCTCGATGATTAGTTATGAAGCTTCTTGATTAAATTGTTCTAAGTCATAAAGCATTTCATCACTCGTTTCTGCCTTTACAGATGGATTAATAGTCGAAATAGATAAGGAGAAAAAACGAGACTTCAGAAGTACGTACTTTAAAAACTTTGAAATAGATGAAGTTTTAATTTTTCTTTGGACATAGGTCATTGAGATTGTTTCTGTGTGCTTGTCATGTTTATCTTGAGTTGTCAATAAAAATACACATCGTAGAGTTTTTAACCTAGACACATAAAAAGAAAACTTTCATAAATATTCGAACAAACCTTTGGATCTGCGCTAACAAGCTTTTCTTAATTTTTTTTGTCCGACAATTACTTCCTACACTAAAGCAATAAAGGTTTTCTCTACATATATATGCATAACTTACAAAGTTTCATGTAAGAGCAGTTTTTCTATGTCCACTAAAATATGATTATAATTTCATTGCTTAAAAAAACAAAAATCTCAATACTGTGATTAATATGATAACTAAACAAGAGAATACATCTGCTTGAAACTTCGTCTCAATTTTTCACAGTTATTACTGCTCTAAAAATCGAATTTATCTTCATAATTATAATCAGTATACAGATTTCCCGACAAACGTTTTAATACTTATTATATTTTGTAACTGTCTGATATAAGTCATTTAACCTTAATCAAATAAATTGTTATTCGCATGTATTGTACTCGTTCCTATTAGTACATATTTGTAATATAAATAGTTTCAATAATATTATACAAATATATGAAAAAATTGCTTTTCTTTTTAGGGTCCAACTTTCGCTCCTATTGGTATAACAGGTGACATATATCTTGAGGCAGTAAATACAACTGAAATAGTTATTCAACTTGAAAGTGTTAATGTTGCTTCCTATAATGTAAAAACTAAATCATGGCAAGTTGATGTTCTATTAAGTAGTAATAATGATCAATTCGAGAGTAAAATAAAATTTATCTTAGAAAATACAACATGGTCATATGAAACACTTGTCATATTTAATCATAATCTATCAATTACTGTATCAATATCTGATGAACTTATTTCACGTTGGTGGCCAAATGGATATGGTAATCAATCATTATATAATTTTGTTGTTTTCAATCAAGAAAAAGTAATTGACTCACGTTTAATTGGTTTTCGTACTGTTCAATTAGTTCAAAATAAATATAGAACAGGAATAAATGGAACATCATTTTATTTTGTTATTAATTCTCAATCTATATTTATTAAAGGAAGTAATTGGATACCATCAGATTCATTTCAAGAACGTGTCAGTGATGAAAAATATGAACGTTTACTTCGTTCAGCTCAATTAGCTAATATGAATATGATACGTGTTTGGGGTGGTGGAATTTATGAACGAAATTCATTTTATGAACTAGCCGATCGTTTAGGTATTATGTTATGGCATGATTTTATGTTTGCATGTAGTCTGTAAGTTTATTTTAAACAAAAATAATTCTTAATTTAAATCAAATATTTTTAAAAAATTTAGTTATCCTGTTAATGATGAATTTTTAAAAAATGTTCATGATGAAGTTATTTATCAAGTTAAACGACTTCAATCACATCCATCGATTGTCCTTTGGTCTGGTAATAATGAAAATGAAGCTGTTATTGCAGAAAATTGGTATAATGTATCGCAAGAAAAAATGAATAAAACAAAAGATGATTATAGAAAATTATATATTCATACTGTTATGAATGCTATTCAACAAGTTGATCAAGGAAATAATCGACCATTTGTTAGTTCATCACCATCGAATGGACTTGAAACAATAGCTGAAAATTATATTGCTCGCGATCATGAAGATTCGCTCTATGGTATATACATAGGAATAGAGTTCGATCTGTTTTGTTTTCAAGAAAAATTATATTTCCTATAGGTGATGTTCATTTTTATGGTTTATCATTATCGTAACATGCGCCGCATAAATCATAATCAATACATATTTCGCAGCGATATCGCAAACCTGCGAAATTCATTGCACCACAACTATCGCATAAAACGTCTGAAAAAAAATGAAAGGAAGATGTCAAATGTGTAATGAAAACTGGGATCAATCCAAAAATGAAATTAATCTATACATACCTTTGTGTACTGGCATGATAATATTTGTTTGTGAAAACAAGCTAAAGATAAAATAAAATGTGATTATTATTGTAAAACAAAAGCAACTTGGACTTTCCCTACTCATCCTCAATCACTAGCACACTCATCGGAGGGAGCGGGAACGACAGTATATTATAATATGTTTATAAAAATAAGCGGTTTGTCTTGAGGTTGTTGTTAGAGTCATATAGAGAAACTTTAGTGATGTTCTTTACTAGAACGCAGCAGTAGTGGCATGTGAGTGAACTCTTTTTTTTCCATTATTTCGAGACACTTTTTGTATTCATAACGAATTGAGTATCGGTTGCATTGTCGTAATATTAACTTTTGAAATCAGTAGAGCGAAAAGAATCGACAGGGTTAGAAAAATCGAGAAAATATAAAATATCTTTGAGTTATCAGAATATACTACTTTTTGCTCTTTTGCAGATAAAAATTACATGGAGGTCCTTAAAACGTAGATATATCTTCGGGAAACATCAAAGTATGAACGCATATTGCATATGAGAAGATATCTAGGCTATGGAATAGTGTGTAAAGAGGTATATTGTATTAGAGGCTAGTGTAAAAGAGAAAGTTAATGTAATGAATATGCAGCATCTAAGAAAAAGAATAGCACTATACTGTGCACTTGTTGTAATGAAAATGGTTAATAAAAGAAAAAGACAATGATCCGAAACGATAAAGCAATAATACTATGGTGTGCGTTTTTGGTATTTGTTTAAATAATTTCTTGGCAATAGTGAAAATGAATCTGATCTGGTTGTTTTAAGACAATATTCCATGATCGTTCTCTTATATGTTTTCCTATCTCAGCTTCTTGTTAACATCAATTTCTTTCCTCACATATCTTCCATCAATAACGATTAAATTCAGATTTTGTCTCAGAAAATAGTAACACATCATTTACTATTGTGTTCGTCATTTGAAATTGATATCACTCGATTGATGTTATGTCTAGCTTCATTATTAGATAACATAATCATCGAATTCATTCAAGCCAAAAGAAATTACTTACTTTTATAAAAACAATATTGTCAGTTTCCTTAGGACCGACTTATGAAAATTTTTGAGCTGAACTTTGATTCTGTTGAAGATTTTCTTTTCCAATATCCGACACTTTGTAACTCTTTAGCCAATCTATAAATGATTTAAGTTCTTGTAACTTCTTTTACTTAAAGTTTTTAAAAACCGGTTTAGATTATATAGTGCTTGTTATACAATAGCGCAGAAAAAACCAACTATATTGTAGGGAGAAGAAGAAGGAGAATGCAAGAGCAGTGATAAGAACGGTGACTTTTTTTCGTTCTGTGCAATACCGTCGTGCGAAGTGCAAGTAAGCTGGTAGGCAACCTGGGCACTCGAAAAGTTTTATTGAGAATCAAAAGAGAAAGAGAACCAAAATGGACCACTTTATCACCCTGTGACACAAGGAGGAAAGGTAATTTATTGCGCATGAATTGCAATATAAAAGGTATGTTGGAATTTTCCAATATCATTATATTCTTTTCATATCTAATATCATATAAAATGGTGATTGATTATGTACGCAACAGACTATTGTTCAAAATCGTACAGTAATTGTTCAATGATTCAGTGAGTTTTCATCGTACAGATTTAAAAACTCTCATATGAAGTTCTTCATGTTTTCGAATATATCCTTTCTAACAACTAGAAATAGCTCTTTTTACTATCGAATTGTCGATCTTTTTCTTGTTGAATTAACACTTGTCGAGATTTCAACGTCAATGACACCTAATTCAGAAAGATTTATTTTGAGGCGGGCGTGGGTGTGGGTATGGATGTGGATTGGATGTGAGTGTGGGTGTAGGTAGATCTTGATGTGGGTAGGTCTGGATGTGGATGCAAAGACGACCTCACACCCTCGCTCACATCCATACCCACACTCACACCTTCGTCCACACCCTCGAGCATACCGTTGATGGTGCAATTGCGTGAGGTGGGTGTGAGTGTGGGTGTGTGGGTGTGGGTGCGTGTGATCGTGGGTGTGGGTTTGAATCACCTGTTCGCCGACACCCATCCCACACCCCACACCCACACCCTTCCACACACCCACACCCCACACCCACACCATCATAACGTTCGCGTCCGTCATTATGACCATTCATTTGTATGGTGAAAATTGATCCAGAATATGACATAATTTTAAGCTCTATCGATTGTTTTTCATTTTCAAAAAACCTAATTACTTCTATCAAAGAAGTTAATATTTCAAAAGCTGATAGTAAACACCTGATAAATTTAACCCTTTGAGTCCTGGTGGTACACATACGTACCACTTTGAAAATTTTCTAATCCTCGAGTTTTTGAGAATCTTAGGCAAATATTTTCTAAAAATATGAGAAGCCGGTAGAGACCACTACAAGCCTGCACGAATGATGAGGTTTATGGAAAGCATTGACAAGTGTACCATGCCCAGTTTCTTTAGCCTGAAAAAAAAGTTTCATTATATAACTTGAATTTTAAAAAGTTAATATCGTAATTCATCATGCTATCACATATAGCTAATTTAGTCATTAAAAATTTGTGAAACAAAAGAAACTTCTACAGCGACATTCAGATGTATATCTATAGACATTGCGTATTATATATATAAACTAGAAAAAAGACTAAAACCAAATTGACGCATAAGACGTAATACAATAAAATATATAATGGATTCGGATTTTGATGATAGTCTATTTGATGAAAATGAAAATATGATTAGTTTATACGAATTTGGCAACAGTAGTTCTAAAGATAGCGATTCATTAGTTGCAGAACTTCATCAAAATTCAATAAACAAATGGAAATGAAATATGGACAACTCAGATTTTTCAACTTCTTTCAATTATTTTGATGGACATGCATTAAGGAACAGTAAAATAATCAAACCAATGGATTCTTTATACAAGTTTATAAGTCAAAATGTGATCAAATTTACCACATGGTTCATGATGTCGCCTAGTTAGTTTATATCAAGTTTCATCAAATTTTGTTCGGTAGAAAAAATTCAGGACTCAAAGGGTTAATACAATCAGGTTTTCTTCAACCAAACAGTTTACCAACTAATTATTTTCACATACTCAAATTGTTGTCAGATAACATCATTTATTTGTTTTTCTTTCTACAGATAGCTCCGATCTATAAATCATGTAATGCCAATACAATTTCTTATTTAGAAAAAAAATTTAACTTTACACGGGAAAATCTTAGTTATAATTTATTTATCAGACTTTCTTCCGTTGCTTAAAATTTTTATTATGATTGTCTTTTAGTGGAAGATTTATTTATGAAAAGAATCGTATGTATAACTTGTAAAAATGATAATCCGACGGTATCAAAAACTTGTTCCTAATGTGCAAATGCCAAACCACAACATTTAGCATTGATATTCGATGCAATGTTAGAACCTAGCTTTACTCGAACATATGACCGTTTATTTACCATTATCAATTCATATCGTGAAAGTTTTAGACAACGAATATTAGATGATAAAAATAATGATATTGTCTACAATAGAAATTATAAAACATTATGTAATTCTATTAACTATCCTTTCATTGGTATCATTTTACACTTAGATGATATAAATTTAAGTAAATCAAGCAAGCAATCTATGTGGATTTTAAGTTGTTCTATTGTTAAACTTCCAACTGCCGTACGAAATCGATGACAAAACAACTTGATTTTATCGATTTGGATTGGAAAACAGAAACCAAATATTGAATTGCGGCTTGGTGAAAGTTTTAACAGATTAACGTATTTAAAGTCAAATGGTAAGCATACATCTTAAAAAGATATAAATCTATTGCTAACGAAATAGATAGTCATTACTGGTTGAGATACATCCAGTTTATTAACTATAAATGAACGATAACGTATAAAAGAAAACGTCTGATATTTCTAAGTTTACATTTCTACATTTGATATGTTTCTAAATTTCATCGATTTAGAATGTGAATTTTTGGCGTAGTTGGAAATATTTTAGGAATTGTTCCTTGAAAATTAAGAGATTGTTCTTGAGTTGATTTAATATATTCGTTTAAATGTTACATCTTCTGTTTTTAGGTTTTTCAACAAGATTAGGTACTCGAATGATTGGGAATTGTCCGGCATTAAGCATGGCGCTTAATCATAATTCACACGGCGGTTACTATTGCTGTTGGTATTGCAAAGTTGAAAGAGTACATGTGAACAACAAAAGACAATATTATTATGATAAGAATACCTCAATCAAGGATGAATTTAATTTTTCTTTTGATTCAAGAAAAGCTCAACAACTACAGGCAAAGATAAATGAACGATCAGGAATTTCAATATTCGAAAAAATTCTCGGCATTCCTCTGGGGTGTGGGTGGGTGTGGATGCGGGGTGTGGGTGTGGGTGTAAGTAAACAGAAGACCAACGCCCACACCCACAGCCACACCCCACACTCCACCCCCACACACACCCACCCACACCCACCCCACCCCCACCGCACACCCCCCCCCCCCCCCCACACACACCCACACCCACCCACACCTACACCCCACCCCACACCCCACACCCTCAAGATTGTTGATGTGCATATTGTTTCATGTCGTTCAATAATCGACTTTCATATGAAAAACATTGTGGAATTTTTTCAGAAGTATTTATATTATCTCTCATCAAATACATTCAATCATGATACTCAGATATAATTTAATCTATTAATTTTATTCTCACTTAGGGATCATAAGTATTTTTAGGGAGTTTTAATATGAGTGTAGTTCTTTAACAAGAAATAGGAATTGTTTTTGGAGACAACATTTACTTTTCTTTTT